CGATTGCGAGCATGTTATGCACGTTCCGTGATCGATGCGTTCTAGTGATTTATTTATTGAATATAATGAGTAGTATCCTTGAATCACAACATTTAAAATATTCTATCGAATCAGTAATGAATGCAAAACAATTGAAATACTTTTGAATGGATGCGATTTCCAATTCAGAGCTTAAATAATAATTTTGACTTCACTCATATCGTGCGGAAGTCCTTTAATAATAATACAAATCGTTCGGCTGCATAAAGTGTTTATGATCTCGTTATAACCATAATTTGATAACAAATACGTTCGCTTATCGTTAGTATTTAAATCGACTATATAATATTGAGTCATCCGTTATAAATCGTACAAAAACAAACTCTACGTTCTAACTATATCTACATGTGCCAAGATTTTTTTTGTTTAGTTTACGCAGATAAAAAATGCAATAATAAAAATTGTAATGATGTTAAGTACGTCTGTCGTATACAATTAAAAACCAAATCCTAATATTTGAAAAAACGAAGGTACATTCATAAAACTATTTGAGTACACCGTAAACACACATAAAATATAAATCAACGAAATGTCAGGTAAATATTTCAAGATCCATCATGCATTATAGACATAAAACTACGATGTGTGAATGTTTACGTGTGCATGGGTGTGTATTCTATTATGATTTATAATATTACCTATTAATTTACGTTTGTACAAGATTTAGTTATAAGTACATTTTATATAGCAGTAGAACCTACGACTATATATAGTATAGTATATATATATATATATAGTATATATATATACTTGATGCACAATAAAAAAAAAAAAATGTAAAAATTGAAATTCTCGAAAATATTTTCTATAGTCAGACTGCAAAAGATAAAACATATTAATTTTAAATGGGTTTTTGTCGTTTTCAACGCACACATTCAATTGTTTTCAAACACGTCAGATGTGGCGTCCGTAACTTGATAAAAGAATTTTAAAGATAGGGATGGCAAATCCATGGCACGCAAAAAAATGATGAGAGCAAAAAATTAAAACATTATTACATTTCATTTTTAACAATTAATATTAGGGGCACAATGAACCACTTAAAAAAAAGCATTGGCTATTTTGTAAATTTTTCTTTAACTTATTACTGCCAGTCACGCTATTCAGTCATTTTTTAACAAATCTGAATTAATGAATTGAACAAAGGATAAATGTAGCAAAATCGAATGTATTTTATTGAAAATTTATAATTTATAAACCGAACATAAAATTTATTAAATAAATTGACATCGTGTGTACATCAACAAACATCACATCGAGCAAATTAATAAATAGTTTAATGATTTTATTTTTTTAAATTGAATCTCCATATCGTGTACTAAATAAATACATTTAAATTAATAAATGTTTATAATGCATTGGAACGTGGGAGAAGAAAAAAAAATTTGGTAACTTTTGGCACGTAACCTTACAAAATAATATGCCTAACTTGTGCTTTAACATCTTTCGTAAGCGAAAAAAGTTAGTCATTCGATCCATAGTGACCACATGCAGTAATACGTGCGATCGCCTAGGTTACTGAAAAGGTACAGTTACGTTCATATTATATCGAGCGATAAAAAAAAAATGTGCTAAGCGACGTTTATGGGTCAAAATGTTCAGTCGTTCGATCACATAAGTGTTCCTCTTCTAACCTGTTTAGAAATAAGATATGTAATGTACAAAATTACAAGTGAGTGAAGTAATACCAACCATAAAAAATTGTTTTCGCCAAGCGATAAACATAATATGGCGCTTGATCATCACTTTTATATCGCTCATCATCTTTTATCATGTTGACTAAATGAAATATATTACGATATTATACGATGATAATCGTTCGTACAATTATAATTTTACTTTTATCACAATATTATACTATTCTTAACAATAATAAAATTGTATCGATAACGAAGCGTATGGTTATCATTAGAATGCGTTTTAAAATATGTCCAATATAATTTTTAATAATTTTTGTCATTGTCCCTTATACTTTACAAAAAAGATGCTTAACTATTACTTCGTAACATTTTTGTTCGTAAATGTCACTTGTACCAACATTTATAAACTAATTATCTCATTACTAAATGTTTAAAGAAACATCAGCGCTTAGTGCGTTCGAATGTTTTACCGTCGGTTGTCCCGTAAGGTGTACACCATACTACGTAACTCCTTTTATCTTGAACCTATCGATATTTGGTCCCGTTGATGTTCTGCTATCCAAATGTAGGTACATACGGAATAAATCCCCTGGAGAGCCTCTTCTTGTTTCGCGTATGGTTTCATTTTCATTACAATACGGTTCCTCGTTCCCCGAAAATATTGTCGTCTTACGTCTGTCGCTGTGACACTGCACTCACGTGAGATTCAGTTCAACATGCCATCCCTTTCCATGTCTAGAATATAGTAAGGGTTCACTATATTTTGTATTATAAACATAGTGCTAAACATTTTAGCGTGTTAGTCTTGTCTAAAGCATCGTACAAATATTTGAAAATGAAAAATTGCGAGTATAAAACGTGTTTGATAAACGTCCGCAGTAATTCCCTATGGCTGCAGTTGATGTATGGGAGGAATATTATCCTTATTATATTAAATGAACGCTACGTGTATCAAAAGTACCGAGTATTTATATATATATAACACCTATTATCATGGTCATTATTTACCGCGATCGACCGCCGCCACCACCACCGCCGTTGCCATGTACACACTCTTTATAATCAGGTCGATGATGTATAATCGAATTTAAGTCGTTGCGACACATCGATAATACTGCTTATTAATCACATGAATGAATAATCGCCCCGCAACCGAACCCCGGAAACGCGAATACGAATTATATAATCGATGAGATGCTATAATCTAAGATGATATGTGTGCGGCCGGTGAAAAAAATCGACGACTTAATACTTCCGCAAAACTTTAAAAGTTCATCTTAAATCTAACATAATTACGGTGGTACGCATCGTGCGACCATGTCGAACGAAATAAATCATCTGTGACGCATGAATCTGTAACGAAATGTTTTTGTACATACATCGCCGCGTGTCGTACATAGCTTTAGAAATTCGATTTATAATTTATAGATTACGTATCAATAAATTAGGTTTACAGAATTATGTAAGTTGTACAACTTCGAAGCAAACACCTCTAACAATCAAGTTGTGAATCAAATTTTTAAAAACGGATGCACAACAATGTGGATTCATCGCAATTTTGTAACTTGGATTAATTGCGCAATCGTAAACACAAAAAACTAGAAGTGATCAGTATTAATAATATGTCAGCTAAATTCTATTTCAGACCACTAATAGCTTATGCTGCGCGTGTTATCGATCGAACAACGTACACGGCGTACACGACTGTCCATGTGAACTATTAATTCGGCATTCGCTATTCGAAAATCGTCGCCCTTTTACGGGTCGCACTCTACCGCGGCGTAGTAAGCGCGCTATTAACATTATACAGAAATGCGCGGTGGCTATTTTAATGCATCCGGAGTGCTTATTCATGGTTTCGATTCGATTTTCAACAACAGTAAACAACGTTTAAAGTGAAAATAAAATACATTTAAAAAGCCAAAACCTTTTAACGGAACCGTAACGTACCTCCTTCAGATAAGATCGGGAGGGGAGGGGAGAGAAAAAATAATACACCAAGTGCAGATGGTATATATATATATAAAACCGTATGTATGCATAATATATGCAATCTTTTCGAGATGCATTAAAAACGTTTTGCTAAAATCAATACGCGCATTATACAATAAATTATAGTTGGTTTCCGTCTGAATGTTTGATTTTTAACACTCCGCAGTGGCTGCGACTCAAAAATGCGAAAGGTTACCCAAACGCAACGGAAAAGCGTGAACGTAAACAACCGATAAGCCCGAAAACACCGATTACTACAACCCATTACCGCGGATTATGTTATACCACAAGACATTCTTTTAATTTTTTTATCGAAACCGTTGTATTATAATATTTGTCTTATTAAAAAGTGTGAGCTCTACATAAATCATTAAGCAATATTACTTGCAATTTAAATACTATAGTTTGCTGGCAAATCCAATGGCCGAGCCAAAATCGTAAGACCGCGAAGTGCGTGTTGAACCATGAAATATGTCGATGATTTCGAAATCAGCTAATTTTGAACTTAAGTTCACACACCTATGTCAATGACGTGTATGAGGACAAAGCATATTTATGTAACTTGGTGTTATACATCCCTATTTTCTTTCAACAACTTTTTCGTCTAAAAAAAAACCAAATTAAATGAGCAACCTTGGCATTTTTTCCCACGTACACAATAGTATTTCGGTCATGAACCACGTCTCGAACCACCATTGCTTCCGACTTAATCCGACAATTATAGTTATCTTACGAAATCAATACGAATTTAAAAATCGTAAACAAATTATTATTTTTCTCGTAGTATACAGTCCAAGCACTGAGTTTCAAAAAAAACCATTTGATTACTTTTGCAACATTCACAGAATAAACGTGTATTTCGATCGTTGAAAAGTTATGTAGTTACGTCTTAAAGGGTAGGCAGCGATCTCCACACGACTACGCTGCACCCGAATAGAAAAATGTCTAAAAGACGATTTTTACCATTTCCGCCCTACGGTTATCAGGATTACGCGAGGAATTATTGTTGCGGCGGTACGATAACCGCATTTACCGTACAATCCGGGTATAATTATTCTCGTGATGATCGATCACGGGAAAAACGTTTAAGACGAATAAAGTACGTACGTGAGGAGGAAAATGAAAAAAAAAAAAACCGTTTACCCGACGACGGTCACGGTGGCTCGTGTGCGCGTGAACGGGTAAAAGTGTGCGTGTGTCGTATACAAGTGCGATGCGATAGGGACGTGCAGTGGCGCGACGACGATTTTCGTGACAGTGGCGAGAGGGGGAAGAAGGTCTTGTAGACTCCGCGCACCCATATGGCCGCGGCGCTGTGTACCAGTTCGAACCAGACGTCCGCGTGTTCCAGTGGTCCGCCGGCGTTCACACGGCTCCATCCGTCTCAGTCCGATAGTTTTCGATAATATTTGCGCACGCGCGTGTGTGTGTTTTTCCGCGCGTATGTGCCGCTAATATATCACACGTTCGTTTCTCGTACGTAATACGCGCGCGCATTTATCACGCGAGTAAAACATTATACGCCCGCGTGTGATTTACGACCGTGCGCGCACTGCACTTGTCACTTCTTCGCGGTACAGCGAAATAATAAAAAAAAAAAAATATACATATTATTAATATTCAAACGAGTTCGCACCGTTCGCGGTGTTCGTTGTGTTCGTATTTTTTTTTCCGCCCGTTCGCGGATTTATCGGTGTTCCGCAATCGATTTGTTTTCCTCTCGGCTACTGCTCCACATCTGCTGCTGCTGTTGCTTGTCCACCAACTATCGCGCCAACCTCCGTTGCAGTTACAAGACGCGCGCACCTCACTGTTCTTCGGATGCTTAAATGAGAATACCGGCGCGCACACATGGACACCGTACAGGTAAACAGCAGTCGTTTTATTGATATATTATCGGGGCACGGGACATTTCCTTCGCGATCTCTTTACGAGCCCTTTTGTGTGAAATCGCAATTTTTTGTTCGAAAATAAATGGGCTTATTACGGGTTGCTTTGATTTTTAATTTATTTCCCCGGCCCAGAGAAAACACCACCGATCCGCCTCTGTATTGTGATAATATCGTAATAATTATCACTCGCACAACGCTATCGTGTTTCGTGTTTCCGTGCGCGATGATCTATGATGATGTCTATATCGTAGGGATAATTTTACGCGTCTAAGTACAATGTAGAACAGTCGAGAAGAAAACGCCATGTCGAAACAATCGAATTCTCTAAACACGATCCGTTATTCCTAGTATTCGTAACCTACCTACAAAGATTTAAATGTTATCAAATCATTATTCGCAGCGTCAGTGAACTTTAGCTCGAATCTATTTCAATAGGTTTTACAATTAAGTTTTCGTGTTCAGCTTTCGTCTCGAAATAGGTTTTATAATATTTTTTTTTTACAAAATTCATTTTTATCGAAAAACAATAGTTTTGATAAAATTACGGTTGTAGAAATCATAAACTTATAATGGCAATTTTTCGAAAAAATATGCTAACAATAATTTAAAAGTTAAAACTTATTCTTGAATTTCTCATATTTTTAAAACGTAAATAATTAATTCACCATCAGCCATAATTATGTTATTTAATTTTTTCTATGTCATATATTTATAATTACATGCATGCACACAATGTTCTTACAAATTTCAGAAACATTAACCGACACAAATTAAACACTTATAATTCTTTAGTAAATTAAATTCGAATATACAATTTCAAACAAGATATAAATTAATTTATCATAACTATAGACCAGTATGTAATTACAATGTATACATCAAACACAAATTAACTTTTGACTTTAAGTACTCAATATTTACAACTACATGTACTAGAGTATTTCAGTATACTTAAATACTTGTACTTTTGAACTCACGTGCTTTAATTAGGTTATTATGATGCGAATTCCTAAATAATATTTCGTATACCATAAATAAAACCAAAATTCCATAGTCATATAAACACTTTCAAGTCTGCTTTCAATCTGCGTTGTTTTACATTTTTTATACTACTTTATATAAAACATAAAAGAATGATATAAACCCATTTGACTTATACATAAAACCATTATCGATACACATTAATAATTTTCTAACCAGTCATTTCAGCAATAAACATTTCCTAAATAATTAACTCGTTTAAAAAATATTCTAAAAAATTAATTTTTTTCAAATCCTAACTCGATATCGAATGCAATCGAGGGACTGACTATTGACTATTGATGTTCAAAATAACGAAGATTATAATTTTATTTTATTTAATTCACTTACATAATTTCTCTCTATACAAACTCTGTATTAGATGCTAACTTATTAAAATATTTAGCTAAATTTGATCTTAAATTTTGTTCTGCTAATGACAGTTAAAAAAAGTAATTAATTTGAATTTTTTATCAGATCATTGATGCATTACATCACGCAATAATAACAAAAACAAGATATTAAAATAATTAAAATGGTATTAGCAGTAATGCATCTATTAGGTTTTTAAATAATTAATAAGTAATAATTAACAAAAAATATCTAATGAAATCGGCAAATAAATGCATTTTTTATTAAATTTCCTTAGTCCGGATTTGAGTCTAAATTTGTCTGCACACAGTGTGGCTAATTCTTGTGTACGTCTCGAGTAACATTTTCGTTCGTATCGTATTATCAATACGATTGAAAAATATTGTTGTTGAAATCATAATTAAAAATAAAGATATACTAACAAATTATTTGATATAGTTTTTTAATTAAATTCGGTTGAAAAATAAAATTGCATTGTAGTAGCATTAAATCGTATAAAACTACTCAGAGAATATTTCATATTATTTATATAATATATATCTGTATAATTATAATAATTCTATTATTCAAATTAATTAAGTAATATTTGCATTATATGGCCTATTATGCAAAAACGTTCGTCATAAAAACGCACGGGGTCAGGTAAAATATTTAATTGCAAATCATTGCGAATAAACCTGCATATTATTTTAGGATTATTTATTTACTTCCACGTCCATTCGTTTGGTAGAATAATGTTGAAACTATACCATTGAAATGTGTAACATATTCAATAATAATTATTAGAATAACAGTTCAATTATTGAACTGTCATTCTGTGCGTTATCACAAGTTGCGTTGAAAAAATTAATAATTCCTTGTTTTTTTGGGATTATATCGCAATCAACAATTGTTCAATGGTAAAATCGAGTGTTTTAAATATCTATTTAAATTTCTTCACAATAAATATTTATCTGATTTCATTTTCATCAGCAACAGCTATATAAATTATTCTTGTTTATCTTCTGGCGTACATTCTTACTTGTACTTACGTACAGCACCTATACTTATAATTTTTATATTAATATCGTTATTGTCTACATATTGGGACTGTAAATGAATTCTAGATAACGGACATAGGCGTAAACTTTGAGGATGAGAGGACTTTTCCCTCTAATAATTTTAATGGGGCAATACCTCCCTTAGTATTTTGTGAATAAATTAGAAAAATATTATAGAAAAGACGTTTTAGATTTATCAGAATTATATCATCAATAAATATTAATAATTTTTTGAACTATCAAAAAAATGAATGAATGAATTAATCAAAATGTGTTTGTTCAATGGCATTCGCCATCACAATAAATCATGATGTATATTAAGTATATCTAGTCTTTAAGTATACGGTATATCAACATAAAATAAAGTTTGCCTCCCCATAAAAATTGACCAAGTTACCTCCGTGATGACGGAATACCACGCGGGTAAATAGGGACGTGTTTGTGTATATTCTTATATATATTATACCATATACATCGATGGATGTACCGGTATTTTTTTAATTTTCATTTTTAATAAAATTTGCATCACGATTAGATACACACTAACGTTCCCGCGTGCGGGGATCAAAGTAGAATTGTTACAAAATGTTGTCAGCGGCGACGTCGTTGAAATCGTCTCCAGGCACCACTGCCGGTTCCGGCCCTACAACGGAAGTGCGTTATATCATTATAACGATATTCGTCGTCGTAGTTGAATTTAAAAATTTAAAAAGAACAAGATGTTTGCGGAAAGGGTTGAGATAATAAGGATGAAATTAATAATGAATGAAAATAATGAAATAATATTCGTTACCATTATTTTCATGTAATATTTTATTTGACCTGAACGATTGAAGAACTAATTTTATATTTGATGAATTGTACGATTGATTTAATATAAATGTATTTAAAACGATAAATTGCGTATTTTTTTGAGACAAACCGTTTTAAACGAATCAAATTTTTTTTCGGCCATCGTACCCGTCTTTTTTCACATGCCCCTTGGGACGTGCAATTGTCTGGTGCTATTCCTAAAGGTACGTGGTGCCACGGATTGGGAAATGCACTAATTTACGGGGTGAAAAGGCGCGCTCTTGTCGACAATTCGTTCGCCGCCGCCCGTACAAACTTGCGCAACACGCACACGAATATTAATTATAATAATAATAATAATAATAATAACAATAATAATATAAATTATAATAATACGTACAAATACACATACGTGGTGTATACGTGTATAAATAAAGATCTATAATATCTTTACGGTGAATCGCCGCCGCTGCCGCCGCCGCCGGGCCGCGCGTCACGGTACAAATTAAGTCCGGGGCCGAGGAGATATGCCGCGTCCGTCGTGTACGTATAATCTATGTATAATATATATATACACACACACGTATCTAACCGGCCCCGCAAACATACACGCGCGCGCCGGCACGCATGTGTACGCCACTGTCAACCGGTTTTCGGGCCAGAGGCAACGCGGTCGGGATCAAAAGCGCCGCCACTGCCGACACACGCGCACACGCACGCACACGCATATAAGATAACAGATTTATCCGACGCGCTAACGCCGCACAAACGCCGCCGCTCTTCTTCCTTTTTACTACACATTATATATATTATCGTTATTATTATTATTATTATTATTATTATTATTATTATTATTATTATTATTATTATTATTATTATCGTATTTACGTACGTGTTTATACTTCCATTATGCATTGTATACGTATGTATTACATATGTACTTCAGTATCCGCACTAGTAAGTTGAAAATCATTCGCCCCCGTCTCGTCGCAACTAACGCTCGTTGATTACCAAAAACAGTAAAAATAAAAATAAAAGTAATCATTTCAATAACGATCGGTATTTTCCGCTTCAGAACATATTATATTCCTTCTTCCCCCCTCCCTGTGGTCATTTACCGTGTAAGGGTCACTTATTTTCACAGTACAACAGCATTATCTTGTACTAATATTATTTCACGAGCATATACTACTCCGGTTACACGTCCACGCTATACACTCTTGTAACAGTCTGATTTTCTCAGATTCAGTTTAAATATCCTTATAACAAGTTCATGGTTCAACATCGAACTCGTACATAAATTCAATATATAACTCACCTCGATATACGTCCTACGTATTTATTCGTACTGTACGGGTAGTCCTCGGGAGGAGGGACATTTTTCTTTCGGGTTCCAAGAGAAGTTATACGATGACAGTTTTCTGTTAATTTTTCTAGGACCCGTATTTTTTTGCTTAGTATCCGTAACTTTAAATTTTACTTGGCGTTGAAAGTGCATTCCGATTTTGGCTTGTTATTTAATGGTTTAAAGTTCTAAACAATTCATAACCGATTGGGTTCGCGAATATTTTCAATCATTTCAATCATAAACGTATTTAATTTTACACCGCGACTTTCGCTCATAACTGTTTTACGACTACGATGATCAACCATTGCTTTCAATTGTACGCTGAAAGTGACAACTGTATTACGACTAAGTGTTCGGTACTCCGATGTAAGCTCGACTTGTTTTTCTAACCCAAGATGACCT